AAAAAGAAGGTAAGATGGGGAACAACCTCATCTAAATAAGGCTATTAGTGATTGCTAATTAGCTTTCTATGATTAGGGCAATTTCACATCTATGGGACTCTGCCTTGTGGGATGATGTAGCTCCATGGGACCCTGCTTCGTGGCATGCTATAGGTGTTGAAGAACAAGAACAGCGATTACGAGATAAGATACATTTTGTATTAAAGAAGGAGCTTGAATTGGTAGCTGTATATAGTAAGAAAGCTGAAGAGGCTTTGCAATCACCGCCATTGAACTGGTTGGATTGGATCACACAGATAAATTTTAATACTGATCCTTTCCTATATACACTTCCTTGTTATGTTTGCAAAAAGGATAATAATAAGTGCGATGCTTGGGTAGCTTTGCATTGTGCTGATTGCAATAAGGTTTACTGGTATTCACAGAGGACAGTAGGAATTTTATGGTGTCACCCTTGTTTTGGGAAGTGGATTCGATATTCTTTCTGGTTTAGATCTCTTGAACAAAGTACTGGCCTGCCAGGAAGGGCAGGATTGGAGCTTTTTGAGAGTGCAGAACAAGTGGTTATAGCATATATTAGATGGAAATTACAGCAAGTACTTAGAGAGCTTGAAATTACTACATCCTCACGCATCATAGCAGCTCGCTGTAAAGCTGATTTGCTTTTAAACCTACCTGATGCTATACCTGTAAGCAAGGATGCTGATTTGGAATTAGATCAGTGTATTCAGAAATTGACTCAGCCTCACAATAGACATTCTAACAAACCAGGGAAAAGACAACGAAGAGAGGAAAAACAGAGAAAGCAGAAAGAAGAATGAAGTTTGTTTTTATACTGCTCAATGCTGTAGTAAGTGAAGCGATAGGGATAACACGTTTCAGTCAGCCAAGAGAAAATCTATGGGTAACACTTGCTAAACAGATTAACCAATCATCGCTTTGTCTTAGTCTTGGAGGAATTACTAATCCATTTCGAACATGCTTGGTAGGACTTCCAGTGTGGTCTCCTGGAGAATTTTGCAGTTTAACAAGTAATCGAACTTTATGCATGCGTAACATGTCTAACATCACATTGCCAGCACAGCAAGGATATACTGCGGGTCAGAGTGATGGCTATCGCCAATGCTTACTAATCCAATCACTTAACACCTCCTTGCATTCTCCTCCTGAAGAATTAGATCTTTTTGGAAGTGCAAATGCCAGTATGCCTAACATTACAGCTGGAGGATAGTTTAGTTTCAAACCCTTGGATGTTCAAAATTTAAATCAACCTAAAGACACATGGGCCACCTTGGATTCATCCCTGAATTTGAGTGAATTCTCTCCACAGCATTACAGTCAATGTAACGGCACAAACATCACGGCACCAATGAAGTTACCTACAGGAATATTTCTAATTTGTGGAGACAGGGCGTGGAATGGTGTACCAGCTAAGCTACAGGGTGGACCCTGTTATTTGGGAAAATTGTCCTTGTTTCACCCTAATGTATCCTTGCTAATGCAGCTCAGTCAAGCATCAAACAGGAAAAGGCGTAGTATACATGACTTGGACTGCAGCCAGATAGGAGATCCAAAGTTTTGGGGTACATTCAGACAAGTAGTAGTTTCAACTATCTTACCAGGAAGATCTGCCAATAAAGCTATGAATTTAGCAAAACAATTAGGGTGCTGGACAAGAAATGAGCTGAACCAGACATCCCAAATTCTGGACATGATGATTGCAGATGTGCAAAGTGTTAACCATGCTGTTTTACAAAATAGAGCTGCTGTAGACTTTTTGCTCTTAGCACAAGGGCATGGATGTGAAGAATTTGAGGGAATGTGTTGTATGAATTTGTCTGATCATTCGGTGTCCATTCATACTAAGATAAAAGAACTACAACAGGGACTTCACAATCTCAAGGAAGAAGAAGGTTTAGGAATTGACAAATGGCTTAAAGGCTTAGGGCTTGGACCATTGCTAAGGAACATTGTGATCTATGCTATAGGACTACTGGGTGTAGTTTTACTGTTTTTGCTTATTTTGCCTTGTGTCTTTAATTGTATTCAAAACATGGTCAGTCGTATGATAGCAAAAATGCAGACTAGTCTTCTTGCTCAAGAAGAAAACAGGGGAAATGTGGAGGATTTTATTAAGAGTTGGTTAGCTGAGAAAGGCCATACTGACTTAATGCCACTGGTTAAGCTGAAAGAGGGAGGTCAGCAGTCTCTGATTCAGTGACTGCTGACAGGCAAGAATGCCGGATGGCCTTGCTGCAACATGAGGAAAGGGAGGTGAGATTAGTCCTGAATATCTGCAGAATGTAACAGAAGAATAAGCACAAGAATGTAAAAGTAGGTGTAGTTGTTGATATGTAACTAACCAATCCTGAGCTCAACTTTTGCAATATGTATGAAGCTTATTAAGAACTATATTTAACCCGCCGTATTCGATCAATAAATCGGACTTGGATGAACCAACTGGTGTCTGGGTCTCCTTCCTCCGACACTGACCCTTTGTGCCAACCCTGCCCTTCTGTGGCCCCAAATCTCAGCTCTGGCCCCAAATCAGGGCCGTTTTCATGCTGAGCTCACTCTCGTCCCAGAAATCCCAACCATTTTTGCCAACTGGATCCGTTCTGCCCCAAAATCTCAGCGGTGGAACTGAGTCGCAGGCACAGACCCAAATCTGGCCCATTTTCCCAAAATCTTGATCATTTGCACCCAGGTTTGTGGACGTTGGTTGAGACTCGGTGCCCAGAGCTGAGGTTTGGGGACAAGAGCTGAGATTGGGGCAGAACCAGCTCAGAGCTGGGACAGGGGGACAGGAATGGAGGAAGTGTTGGGGAAATGGGGACAGGGGGACCCAATGATTGGATCAGATTGACCAAGAGGAGCACCTGCACCGCAACAACTATTATCAATATATTTGGCACAGAAACAGGATCCGGAATCCTCGTCCTTGAGGTTGTTCATGGTCAGCGTCACCGAGCTCTGCCCGTTGTCCCTGGAGATCGTGAACCGGCCCTTGACTGAAGCTGCATAGTAGGCTCTGCCACTGCTGTAGATCCCTGCGAGACGTTCCAGCCCCTGCCTGGGCCTCTGGCGCACCCAGCACATGGTGACACTGCCGAAACTGAACCTGGACCCTCGGCAGAGGAGGCACAGGGACCCCCCGGGGGGCTGGAGGTGCCCCCCGTACTCCAGCAGGGTCACGGCCGCCCGGAGCCCTGCGGGACAAAGGGGAGATGGGGATGAGACCAAAGCTCAACCCTTGACCCAAATCCTGACTTGTGGCCCCAAATTAGGACCCTTGGAGTTCATCATCCTCATGCCAGGTGAGTCACATCCCATTTTCCAGCAGACCACACCCGCTTTGAACCCACAGCCAATGACGTTTCTCATCCCCTTTGTCCCGCAGGGCTCCGGGCGTCTGTGACCCTGCTGGAGTCTGGGGGGAACATCCAGCCCCCCGGGGGCCCCTGACGTTGCTGTGCCGAGGGTCCGGGTTCTGTTTTGGGGATTATGGAATTTACTGGATCCGCCAGAGACCCAGGCAGGCTTTGGAATATGTTGCAGGGATCTACAGCAGTGGTGGCACCATCTACTATGCACCATCGGTCAAGGGCCGGTTCAGGATCTCCAGGGACAACGGGCAGAGCTCGCTGACGCTGACCATGAACAACCTCAAGGACGAGGATTCCAGATCCTATTTCTGTGGGAAAGCTTCATGCTCTGTTTGTGTTCCTAGTGCTGGTTATGTTGATGATGCACGTTATGGCGTCCAGCTCCTGGTTCTGGCACCACTCCCATCATTGAGTCCCAAGAGTTGTGATTTTAGTCCCAATTGTCACCCATTGACCCAGCCCTTGACTCTTTGTCCCCATTTGCACCAATGGTCAGCACTGACCACAAACCCTGTCCTGCTCCTGCCCAAAAACTCAACCATTGGCCCCAAACCTTCACCCCTGAGCTCCAGGTCTGATCTTGCTCTCCAAGAGTTCCCATTTTTGCCTGTTCCAGCTCAGCCAATCAGGGCTCGAGGAGCAGGGGGTGATTTGAGGACAACGTGGAGATTTGGGGCGAATTTTGGTGCCAACTTACTTTGGTTTGGGGCAGAACCAGTAAGGGCTTTGTGGCTTCGTGGTTGGCGTTGCTGGAAATGGGGGAGATCTGGGGGAAAGGGTCAGGAATGGGGTCAAGGGCTGAGATTTGGGGAAGGGTCTGGGGAGTGGGGACAGGAAGGGCTCAGAAATGGTGGTGCCACCACAGGCAGGGTCAATATCAGCAGCAGCATAAGCACCACATCCATAAGCAGATTTGGCACAGAAATAGGATCCGGAATCCTCGTCCTTGATGTTGTTCATGGTCAGCGTCACCGAGCTCTGCCTGTTGTCCCTGGAGATCGTTACCTGGCCCTTGACCGATGGCGCGTACCAGGTGCTGCCAATTTTGCTGATATTGGCGACTGGCTCCAGCCCCTGCCCGGGTCTCTGCCGATGCCAGCCCATCTCAAAACTGCCAAAATCGAATCCGGACCCTCGGCAGAGGAGGCGCAGGGATCCCCGTGGGGGCTGGAGGTCCCCCCCGCACTGCAGCAGGTTCACGGCCGTTTCACCATCCCGAAACCTTCACCAGTTTGCCCCAAATTCCCTTTATCTGACCCCAATTCTCCAACAGAGGACTCCAGTATTGTAAAGTGCCTTCAACACAGAAATTAACCCAGATCCACCCATTAATTAATTTGACAGCTCCACCCGACTTTTGCATCGCCACGTGCCCATCTCCCCTTTTTCCCGCAGCGCTCCGGGCGGCCGTGACCCGGGGACAAAGGGGAGATGGGGATGGGAAACCTGATTGGTGAAGAGTGCCCAAGTTGGCATGGCACGCTTGAAAAAGTGGTGGGACACATGTGAGAGGAGGGTGATGAACTCCAAGGGTTAGAATTTGGGGCCAATAGTCAGGATATGGTTTGAGCTTTGGCCACATCCCCATCTTCCCTTTGTCCCGCAGAGCTCCAGGTGGCCGTGACCCTGCTGGAGTGTGGGGGGGACCTCCAGCCCCCCGGGGGGTCCCTGCGCCTCCTCTGCCGAGGGTCTGGGTTTTATTTCGGCAACTCTGACATGTTCTGGATCCGCCAGAGACCCAGGCATGGGCTGGAATGGGTTGGAAGTATCAGCAGTAGTGGTGGCAGCACCTACTACGCGCCGTCCGTCAAGGGCCGGTTCACGATCTCCAGGGACAACGGGCAGAGCTCGGTGACGGTGACCATGAACAACCTCAAGGACGAGGATTCCGGATCCTATTTCTGTGCCAAAGCTGCCTATAATAATTGGGGTGCTGCTGCTGGTGTGGATGGTGTTCACCTCATCCCCATCCCTGTGTCCCCACCTGTCCCCATTCCCCAGCCCCTTCCCCACACCCTAGCCCACGACCCCATTCCTGTCCCCGTGACCCAGCTCTGAACTGGCTCTGCCCCACATTCTCAGGTCTTGGCCCCAAACCTCAGCTCTGGGTTCCAAGTCTCAGCCTAGGTCTCCAAACCCGGGTGCAAATGGTCAAGATTTGGGGAAAATGGGCCATATTTGGTGTGTGTCTGTGACTCAGGTCCACCACTGAAATTCTGGGCCAGAACAGAGATGGGGATGAGGACAAAGCTCAACCCTTGACCCAAACCCCGACTTTGGCCCCAAATTTTGACACTTCTGCCGCCATATCCTCCTCCTGGCTGCCCTCTCAAGTGGGTCCTGCCCCTTTTTTCTGCAAGCCATGCCCCTTTTCCCGTTTTGGACCAGTCAGATTCCTTGTTTCCATCATCTCCCCTTTGTCCCGCAGGGCTCCGGGCGGCTGTGACCCTGCTGGAGTGCGGGGGGGACCTCCAGCCCCCCGGGGGGTCCCTGCGCCTCCTCTGCCGAGGGTCCGGGTTCAGTTTCGGCAGTTTTTCCATGCAATGGATCCGCCAGAGGCCCGGGCAGCGTCTGGAGTGGGTCGCGGGTATCAGGAAAGATGGTGCTTACACCAGCTCCACGCCATCCTTCAAGGGCCGGTTCAGTATCTCCAGGGACAACGGGCAGAGCTCGGTGATGCTGACCATGAACAACCTCAAGGACGAGGATTCGGGATCCTATTTCTGTTCCAAATCTGCTGCTGCTGGCAATTGGGGTGATGCTGCTGCCTATGTTGAAGACACCAGTTGTGGATCCACCCCCGTCTCCATGTCCCCCCTGTCCCCAATCCCAGACCCTTGCCCCTCAAACCTCACTCATGGACCCTTTGTTCCAAATCTCCCCCATTGGCATGAATGGTCAGCACTGACCCCAAATCCTCCCCTGCTCCTTCCCAAAAACTCAACCATTGCCCCAAAACCTTCAGCCCTGGCCTCCAGTTCAGGCCTCCTCCAATCAGGGCCCAGGGAGCTGGGGAAGATTTGGTTAGAATGGGAAAAACTGGGAGAAAGTCGGAAATTGGGGCAGTCATGCCAGAGTTTGGGGGTAAGTGGTGAGCATCTGAGGAGAAGGTCTGGGATATTGGGAAAGGATCTGCGGGGATCGGAGACATTTGGTGACCATCATGGCAGGTGGGACCATTGCCAGAACTGTCACTAAGAGCAGCACTATCATAACCGTAACTACTACCAGTACCACGTTTGGCACAGAAATAGGATCCGGAATCCTCGTCCTTGAGGTTGTTCATGGTCAGGGACATGGAGCTCTGCCCGTTGTCCCTGGAGATCATGACCCGGCCCTTGACCGACGGCGCTTAGTCGCTGTAAGCACCACTGCTGATACTCGCAATGTATTCCAGCGTCTTCCCAGATTTCTGTCGGATCCAGATCATTCCAAAATCCCCAAAATCGAACCCGGACCCTCGGCAGAGGAGGCGCAGGGACCCCCCGGGGGGCTGGAGGTCCCCCCCGCACTCCAGCAGGGTCACGGCTGCCCGGAACCCTGCGGGACAAAGGGGAGATGGGGATGAGGCCCCGGATCCGGCCGTGGGCTGGGTGTGACCAGATCCAAAAAGGGACCTCGACCAACCTGGGAGGGGCAGCAGGATCAGGAGGAGGAGAAAGTTCCACAATTTGGGGTCAACATCAGGATCTGCATGCAGGAATCAACATTTGGGTGGATTTTTTCCCTCATCCCCATCTCCCCTTTGTCCCGCAGTGCTCCGGGCGGCTGTGACCCTGCTGGAGTGCGGGGGGGACCTCCAGCCCCCTGGGGGGTCCCTGCGCCTCCTCTGCCGAGGGTCTGGGTTCAATTTCGGGAGTGTTGCCCTGCAATGGGTCCGCCAGAGACCCGGGCAGGGGCTGGAATGGGTCGGGAGCATCAGGAGCGATGGTTCCGGCACCAACCTCGCGCCATCGTTCAAGGATCACGTCAGGATCTCCAGGGACAACGGGCAGAGCTCAGTGACGCTGACCATGAACAACCTCAAGGACGAGGATTCTGCCACCTATTTCTGTGCCAAAGAACCTGGCACTGGTCGTTGGAATGCTGCTGCTGGTTGTCCTTCCAGGTCCGTCCCTGTCCACAATCGCCAGACCCTTCCCTCCAACCCCTGACCCCATTCCTGACCCTTTGTCCCAAGCCTGCCCTGCTCTGGCCCCAGATCTCAGCTCTGGCCCCAAATCAGGGCCGGTTTCACCCTGACTTCAGCCTCGTCCTCGAAATCCCAATCATCGCCCCCAGACTGAACCCATTGTGTGCCAAAATCCCAGTGGTGGGACTGAGTCCTAGCCACGGACCAAATCTTGCCCATTTTCCCCAAATCTCGACCATTTGCACCCAGATTTGGAGACCTTGGTTGAGCCTTGGAGCCCAGAGCTGAGGTGTGGGGCCAGGAGCTGAGATTGGGGCAGAGCCAGCTCAGACCTGGGACACGGGGACAGGAATGGGGTCAGGGGCTGAGGATTGGGGGAAGGGTCTGGGGAACAGGGACGGGAGGGGGCAGAGCCATGGGGATGGGGTCAACATTATAAGCATTATTCCCCGAATAATTATCAGCAGATTTGGCGCAGAATATGATCCGGAATCCTCGTCCTTGAGGTTGTTCATGGTCAGCGTCACTGAGCTCTGCCCATTGTCCCTGGAGATGCTCACGCGCTCCATGAATGACGTCCCGTAGTGGGCGCTGGAACCGTCCCTGCTGATCCCCGCGAGCCACTCCAGCCCCTGCCTGGGTCTCTGGCGCACCCAGAACATTCCATTGCTCCCGAAATTGAACCCGGCCCCTCGGCAGAGGAGGCGCAGGGACCCCCCGGGGGGCTGGAGGTGCCCCCCGCACTCCAGCAGGGTCACGGCCCCTCCCCCATCCTCAAACCTTCATTGGAGTTTTTCCTCAAATTCCCTTTGTCTGGCCCCAAATCTCCAAGAGAGATGCCCACTATTATACAGTGCCTTCAAGCCTCCAACTGACCCCAATTCACCCATTGATTAATTGGACAGCTCTGCCAGAGTTTTGCGTCGCCTCATCCCCATCTCCCCTTGGTCCCGCAGGGCTCCGGGCGGCCATGACCCTGCTGGAGTGCAGGGGGGACCTCCAGCCCCCCGGGGGATCCCTGCGCCTCCTCTGCCGAGGGTCCGGGTTCAGTTTCGGGAATTTTGGGCTGGGATGGATGCGCCAGAGATCCGGGCAGGGGCTGGAATGGCTCGCAGGGGTTCATAACGATGGAGACACCTACTACACGCCATCGGTCAAGGGCCGGTTCAGGATGTCCAGGGACAATGGGCAGAACTCGGTGACGCTGACCATGAACTGCCTCAAGTACGAGGATTCCGGATCCTATTTCTGCACCAAGGGTGCTTACAGTTGTTTTGCTCTTTCTGATGCTGGTGTTTGTGATGTTTTTCATGGCCCTTTTCCTGTCCCCGCGCCCCAGATCATTCCCTCAAACCCCAGACCCCACTCCTTACCCTGCGTCCCAACCCTGCCCTGCTCTGGCCCCAAATCTCAGCTCCTGGCCCCAAATCTCAGCTCCTGGCTCCTCCGGATTCTGTTCCTGTGGGAAATCTCCTGGTACCGGTGGCACTTATGCTGCTGGTTATATTGAGAGTGCCGACCACGGCCTCATCCCCAACCAGCATTAGGAGCAGCACCGTAACCATCAGCATCCTTGGCACAGAAATAGGATCCGGAATCCTCGTCCTTGAGGTTGTTCATGGTCAGCGTCACCGAGCTCTGCCCGTTGTCCCTGGAGATCCTGAACCGACCCTTGACCGACGGCGCGTACCCCTTTTACTCAAATCTTCAACATTTCCCCCAAAACTCCACTGTCACTTCCCCAATTCCCAGTTTTCCCCCAACTTTGCCCATTTCTCCCCAGTCTGGCCCTTCCCCTCCATCCTAGAGTGGCACGGGGATCATTCCAGGACCCTTTGCACACAAAGCTTTTTGTGCAGCCGGCGCTCTGCTGCAGCGGCCCGAGGCTGAGCAGCCCTCTCCCAAACCAGATGTTCACAGTGACCAAAACCAGCAACTTTCTGTTTCCTTTCCTGCCCCGGCCGGGCCCCGGCAGCTGCCGGGGAGGAAGTGGGGGGAGGCTGCGGAGCCCCAAAATCGCGGCGTCTGCTCCTCCCTCTCTCCCTCCCTTTGTCCCTCCTGGGGTTTCACTTCTCCCTCAGCGGCCTCGGTGTCTGGGGCTGCTCCTTGGGGCTGGGCTGGAATCCTCTCTGGGAGCTCTGGACATGGTAACGATGCTGGTGGTGGCCCCAAATCCCCATCCCTGGCTCCCCAAATGTCCCAAAACCCCCAAATCCTGCCCCAAATCACAAACCTTGACCCCATTCTTTACCTTCTCCCCCAGTGTCCACCATCTTTGCCCCAACATTCTACTTTATCCCAGTTTTTCCCATTTCACCCAAATCTGCCCCAGCTCCCCGGGCCCTGATTGGAGGAGGCCTGAACTGGAGCCCAGGGGTGAAGGTTTGGGGCAAATGGTTGAGATTTGGGGCAGGAGCAGGGGAGGGTTTGGGGTCAGTGCTGACCATTGGGGCAAATGGGGGAGATTTGGGACAAAGGGTCAAGGGCTGAGGTTCTGGGAGAGGGTCTGGGTTTGGGGACTGGGAGGCTCAAAAAAAAGGACTCAGAAAAAAACCACCATGACCAACATCATCCCAATCAATGTCTTTATCAGCAGCAGGACCACAACAACCATCCCAACTTTTGGCACAGAAATAGGATCCGGAATCCTCGTCCATGAGGTTGTTCATGGTAAGCGTCATGGAGCTCTGCCCGTTGTCCCTGGAGATCGTGAACTGGCCCTTGACGGATGGCGCGTAGTAGATATAAGCACACGTGTTGCTGATGTAGGCGACCCATTTCAGCCCCTGCCCGGGTCTCTGTCGAACCCAGTTCATGGCAAAATTCCCAAAATCATACCCGGACCCTCGGCAGAGGAGGCGCAAGGACCCCCCCGGGGGGCTGGAGGTCCCCCAACACTCCAGCATGGTCACGGCCGCCCGGAGCCCTGCGGGACAAAGGGGAGATGGGGATCAGAAGCCTGATTGGTTCAGAAGGGGAAAAGGGTCAGGGCCACCTGGGAGGAGCAGCAGGAGCAGCAGGGCCAGGAGCCGGAGGGAGCTTGAGGCCTTGGCCGTGATGTGACGAGGTTGGGGATGGTTAATGCTGGTTTTAGTTTTGAAATCAATGTGGAACACTCTTGTCAAGGTGTGCAATTAATTAATGAGAATATTGAGTTAACTTGTAGGGTTAGAGGGACCTCAGGATTCCAGAAAAATCTGATGGAGATTTGGGACCAAACCAGCGGAGTTATGAGGGAAATTGTTAAAGATTTGGGGATGGGCTCCGGGCAGCCGTGACCCTGCTGGAGTGCAGGGGGGACCTCCAGCCCCCCGCGGGGTCCCTGCGCCTCCTCCGCCGAGGGTCTGGGTTCAGTTTTGGACAATTTGGGATGGGCTGGGTGCGCCAGAGTCCCGGGCAGGGGCTGGAATTTGTCGCAGGCATTGACAGCAATGGATACACCAGATACCCGTCTGCGTTCAAGGGCCGCGTCACGATCTCCAGGGACAACGGGCAGAGCTCGGTGACGCTGACCATGAACAACCTCAAGGACAAGGATTCCGGATCCTATTTCTGTGCCAAATGTGCTTCTGCTGGTTGGGGTGCTTATGCTGCTGTTGCTGCTGTTGCTGCTGCTGTTGGATCCCATCCCCGTCCCTGTGTGCCCCCCTACCCTCTTCCCCCGATCCTTCCCTCCAGCCCTTGACCCCATTGGTGACTACCAGAGACCAAAATCTGGCCCATTTTCCCCAAATCTCGGCCATTTGCACCCAGGTTTTGAGACCTAGGCTGAGACGTGGAGCCCAGAGCTGAGGTTTGGGGCCAAGAGCTGAGAATGTGGGGCAGAGCCAGCTCAGAGCTGGGAAACGGGGACAGGAATGGGGTCAGGGGCTAGGGATTGGGGAAGGGTCTGGGGAATGGGGACAGGTGGGGACACGGCCACGGCGAGGCATCAATGCAATAGGCATCATAAAGAGCACCATTATCATCAGCACCCCTGGCACAGAAATACGATCCGGAATCCTCGTCCTTGAGGTTGTTCATGGTCAGCAACACGGAGCTCTGCCCTTTGTCCTGGGAGATCGTGAACCGGCCCTTGACCGATGGACTGTAGCAGATGTAAGCACCACTGCTCCAGATCCCCGCAACGTATTCCAGCCCCTGCCCGGGTCTCGGGCGGATCCATTGCATGGGAAAACTGCTGAAACTGAACCCGGACCCCCGGCAGAGGAGGCGCAGGGACCCCCCAGGGGGCTGGAGGTCCCCCCCGCACTCCAGCAGGGTCATGGCCGCCCGGAGCCCTGCAGGACATAGGGGAGATGGGGGTGGGGTGATGCAAAAGTCCAGCAGAGCTGTCCAATTAATTAATGGATGGATTGGGTCTAATTGCAGGGTTTAGGGAACTTTTCCATACAGGAAATTTCTGTTAGATATTTGGGCCCCGACAAAAGGAAATTTGGGGCAAAATCAGTGAAGGTTTGGGGACGAGGAAGAGGCCATGACCCTGCTGGAGTGCGGGGGGGACCTCCAGCCCCCCGGGGGGTCCCTGCACCTCCTCTGCCGAGGGTCCGGGTTCAGTCTTGGCGTTTATGGAATGTTCTTGATCCATCAGAGATCCGGGTAGGGGCTGCAGTGGCTCGCAGGGATCAGCAGTAGTGGTAACACCGAGTACGCGCCATCGGTCAAGGGCCGGTTCAGGATCTCCAGGGAAAACGGGCAGAGCTCGGTGACGCTGACCATGAACAACTTCAAGGATGAGGATTCCGGATCCTATTTCTGTGCCAAAGCTGCTGGTGCCAGCTGGGGTAATGATGTCTCTGTTCTTGGCCTCTTGCCCTTGACTGGATCCCCTCCTGTCCCCAATCCCCAGACCCTTCCCCCAAATCTCAGTCCGTGACCCCATTCCTGACCCTTTGTCCCAGATCTCCCCCATTTCCCACACCACCAACCATGGATCCAAAACCCCCAAAGTGGTCGTACCCCAAACCCAACTGCTTTGGCCCCAAAACTCACCCAATTCTACCCCAAATCCCCACCTAGCGCTCCCAGCCACAGCCGCTGACACGAATTCTCAACCTTTGTCCCCAAATCGGGACCCTGGGCTTCAAACCCCGACCTTCAGAGCCAAGTTATGGGGCACAAAGAGGAGATTTGGGGTCAGGAGTTGTGGTTTGATGTTGGGAAATTTAGCAGACTAGAGAATGGAAAAGTACAAAGCCGTGCCTAATTCCAAATCTTGCACCTGTGAGACAGTGTGTCCTTGGGCCTAGCTGTAGTAGGATAACAAATAGTGAAAGAGACATGAGAAAAGAGAGATGTAACCCCTAAGGAATGAGGAAGAGTTCATGGTATAGTTTAACCAATAGATTGCTTGGCTTACAGAATATTCATAAGCTTATTATTTGCTGTATAAGTGTTTGATGCTTTCTTCAATAAACCGGAGCTGTGATGAACCAGCTGGTCTCCTGGTCCCCATCCTACGACACACTCAGGTCTCTCATCCCCATCTCCCCTTTGTCCCGCAGGGCTCCGGGCGGCCGTGACCCTGCTGGAGTGCGGGGGGACCTCCAGACCCCCGGGGGGGTCCCTGTGCCTCCTCTGCTGAGGGTCCGGGTTCAGTTTCGGCAGTGTCACCATGTACTGGGTGCGCCAGAGACCCGGGCAGGGGCTGGAATTCGTCGCGGGGATCAGCAGCCCTTCTGGTTCCAGCACCTACTACGCACCGTCAGCCAAGGGACGGTACAGGATCTCCAGGGACAACGGGAAGAGCTCGGTGACACTGACCATGAACAACCTCAAGGACGAGGATTCTGGATCCTATTTGCGTGTCAAAGCTCCTGGTGCTGGGGGTGCTGCTCCTGCTGATTATAGTGACGATGCCCTTGCTGTCCCCATCTCCTCGTCCCCCCCGTCCCCGTTGCCCAGACCCTTCCTCCAGACCCCCAGCCCACACCCAGCCCTTGGCCATTGATCCCAACCTTGCTCTGCCTCGGCCCCAAATCTCACTCCCTGACCCCAAACCACAACTCGCGACCCCAAATCTCCACTTTGTGCCCCAAAACTTGATTCTGAAAGTGGATACTTCAAGCCAAGGGTTAAGGTTTGAGACAACTTTGTAGTAATGTGCAGAGAGCGGATTTGGGGCCGAACCACTCCAAGATTGGGACATGGGGACAGGAATGGGGTCCAGGCTTGGGGTTTTGGGGAAGGGTCCAGAGAATGGAGATAGGTGGGGACCGGGGAACAGGAACATGGCCAAATGCAACCTAAACATGAGAGTAACCAATACCTGCAGCAGCGTTCCAACCAGCACTACCAACAACACTTCTACCACAGAAATAGGATCCGGAATCCTCGTCCTTGAGGTTGTTCATGGTCAGCGTCACCGATCTCTGCCTGTTGTCCCTGGAGATCGTGAACCGGCCCTTGACCGATGGCGCGTAGTCGGCGTAAGCACCACTGCTGTGGATCCTTGCGACATATTCCAGCCCCTGCCCGGGTTTCTGGCGAATCCAGAATATGTCATAGCTCCCGAAACTGAACCCGGACCCTCGGCAGAGGTAGCGCAGGAACTCCCCGGGGGGCTGGAGGTCCCCCCGCACTCCAACAGGGTCACGGCCGCCCGGAGCCCTGCGGGACAAAGGGGAGATGCGGATGAGGCCAAAGCTCAACCCTTGACCCAAATCCTGACCCTTGGCCCCAAACTGTGAACCATGGACCATCCCATCCTGGTTGTTTTGCTCCTGCTGCCTCTCCAAGTTGGGTCCCACACGCTTTTTCTGGCATGGCCATGTTCACTTCTGGTCAGAAGCCAATCAGGTTTCTCATTCCCATCTCCCCTTTGTCCCGCAGGGCTCCGGGCGGCCGTGACCCTGCTGGAGTTCGGGGGGGGCCTCCAGCCCCCCAGGCGGTCCCTGCGCCTCCTCTGCCGAGTGTCCAGGTTCAGTTTCGGCAGTTTTGCCATGCACTGGATACGCCAGAGACCCGGGCAGGGGCTGGAGTGGGTCGCTGGGATCAGGAACGATGGTTCGAGCACCGGGTATGCGGATTCAGTCCAGGGCCGGTTCAGGATCTCCAGGGACAACGGGCAGAACTCGGTGACGCTGACCATGAACAACCTCAAGGACGAGGATTCCGGATCCTATTTCTGTGCCAAACGTGCTTATGCTGATAATTGGGGCCCTCCTGCTATTTGTAAATGCACCATTGGTGGATCCATCTCCATCGCTGTGTCCCCACCTTTCCCCAAAGCCGAAGACCCTTCCCCCACATCCCAGTCCCATCATCTGACCCTTTGTCCCAGATCTGCCCCATTTCCACCCATGGTGACCAAAGACGCCAAACCCCGTCTGGTGGTGCCCCAAACCCAACTGAGTTGGTGCGAGAATTTAACAAATTTCACACAAAATCTCAGCCCTTTGGGCACTTTGGGGGGACCAGGGCGAGATTTGGGGCCGAGAGTTGAGTTTGGGGCCAGACCCAGGGGAGGGTTTGGGGCCAATGGGCAGTGTTGGGGCAAAGGGGGCAGGGCAGGGACAAAGGGTCAGGGTTAAGGTTTGGGGCCAATGGTTGAGTTTTGGGGCAGAAACAGGCGAGGGTTTGGTGTCAGTGCTGACCATTGATGCAAATAGGGACAAAGGGTCAAGATCTGAGACAAGAGGTGAGGTTTGGGACGAAAATCGAAAATTTGGAGATCCAATGATAGGACAGGAGCAAAAACTAGAAGTTTGACGCTATCAACAGCATTGTCACCATGATTAGCAACAGCCCAACAACTGGCACAAAAAGCCCTGGCACAGAAATAGGATCCGGAATCCTCGTCCTTGAGGTTGTTCATGGTCAGCGTCACCGAGCTCTGCCCGTTGTCCCTGGAGATCGTGAACCGGCCCTTGACCGATGGCGCGTAGCCGATGTTTCCACCAGTGTTGGTGATCCCCGCGAGCCACTCCAGCCCCTGCCCGGGTCTCTGGCGGATCCATCCCAGCCCAAAATTCCCGAAACTGAACCCGGACCCTCGGCAGAGGAGGCGCAGGGGCTCCCCGGGGGGCTGGAGGTCTCCCCCGCACTCCAGCAGGGTCACGGCCGCCCGGAGCCCATCCCCAAATCTTCACTGGTTTCACTCATCACTCCCCTGATTTGGTCCCAAAACCCCACCAGAGTTTTCCATATCTCAACATTCCTCAAACACTGCAATTAACCCCAATCCATTCTTTAATTACTTGGACACCTCATCCTGAGCATTCTGCATTGATTACACAGTTAATACACTGTTAACGACCCCCAATTCCCCCCGGGACCCCAACCCGGGCACATCCCGGCCACGGCGTCCGGCTCCCTCCGGCTCCTGGCACTGCTGATCCTGCTGCCCCTCCCAGGTGGGCTCCGCCCCTTTTTTCCAGCTGGCCACGCCCCTTCTTGCCTGCTTGCTAAATCAGGTTTCCCATCCCCATCTCCCCTTTGTCCCGCAGGGCTCCAGGCGGCCGTGACCCTGCTGGAGTGCGGGGGGACCTCCAGCCCCCCGGGGCCTCCCTGCGCCTCCTCTGCCGAGGGTCCGGGTTCAGTGTTGGCAATTTTGGGATGGGCTGGATGCGCCAGAGATCCGGGCAGGGTTTGGAATTTGTTGCAAGGATCAGTGACAATGGAGGTTACACCGAGTACGCGCCGTCAGTCAAGGACCGGTTCACGATCTCCAGGGACAACAGGCAGAGCTCGGTGACGCTGACCATGAACAACCTCAAGGACAAGGATTCCGGATCCTATTTCTGTGCAAAATCTGATGATGCTGCTGCTGCTCCTACTGCTGGTTATATTGACACTGCCGGTGCTGTCCCCATCCCCATCTCCATATCCCCCCCACGTCCCCGTTGCCCAGACCCTTTACCCAGACCCCTAGCCCACACCCAGCCCTTGACCATTGATCCCAACCTTGCTCTGCCTCAGCCCCAATTTTCACCCGCTGACCCCAAACCACAACTCCTGACCCCAAATATCCACTTTGTGCCCCAAAACTTTCCTCCGAAGTTGGCAGTCAAGATTTGGGTCAAAATTTTGGTCAACTTTGTTGTCAAGAGCAGAGAATTTGGGGCCGAGCCAGCGCAGGGTTGAGACACCGGGTCAGGAATGGGGTCAGGGGCTGAGGTTTGGGAGAAGGGTCTGGGACAGTCGGTCTGGGTGGGACAAGAGCATGGGTTGAACACGATCAGCATTAGCAGCCCAATTGCTGTCGGCACCCTTGGCATGGAAATAGGATCCGGAATCGTCATCCTTGAGGTTGTTCATGGTCAGCGTCACCGAGCTCTGCCCGTTGTCCCTGGAGATTGTGAACCAACCCTTGACTGATGGCGCATAGTAAATGTTGGAACCATCGCTCCTGATGTAGGTGACGAATTCCAGCCCCTACCCGGGTCTCTGTCGGTCCCACTGCATGGCAATACTTCCGAAACTGAACCCGGACCCTCGGCAGAGGAGGCGCAGGGACCCCCCGGCGGCTGGAGGTGACCCCGCACTCCAGCAGGGTCACGGCCGCCCAGACCCCTGCGGGACAAAGGGGAGACGGGGATGAGGCCGAAGCTCAACCATTCACCCAAGTCCTCAATCTTGGTCACAAATCGGGACGCTTGGAGTTCATCATCCTCCACCCATGTGAGTCCTGTCCAATTTTTGAAGCATGTCATGCGAGGTTGAGCACTCTTCACCAATCAGGTTTCTGATCATCATCTCCCCTTTGTCCCGCAGGGCTCCGGGCGGCCGTGACCCTGCTGGAGTGCGGGGGTGAACTCCAGCCCCCCGGGGGATCCCTGTGCCTCCTCTGCCGAGGGTTCGGGTAAAGTTTCGGTAGTTTCTCCATGTTCTGGATGTGCCAGAGACCCGGGCAGGCTTTGGAATACGTCGCAAGCATCTACTACATTGGTGCCAACACCCACTACGTGCCATCGGTCAAGGGCCAGTTCAGGATCTCCAGGGACAACAGGCAGAGCTCGGTGATGCTGACCATGAACAACCTCAAGGACGAGGATTCCGCCGTTTATTTCTGTGCCAAATGTTACAGCAGTGGTTGTGGTGGTGGTGGTGCTGGTTATGGTGTTGATGGTGGTTGTGGTCCCAAGCCCTCTCCTCTCTGTTCCCAAATATCTCAGAATTCTCCTATGCTTCCCTAAAATCCCCACCCCTGTTTCTCAAATCTTGACCATTTCCCCCTAAATTCCATCCCTGCTGCCACAGCTTTTGGTTTCCCCCAATTTTGCCCATTTCTCTCTAATCTCCCCCAGTTCCCCTCCGTCCCAGTGTGGAACGGGGATTGCTCCAGGGCCCTTTGCACACAAAGCTTTTTGTGCAGCCGGCGCTCTGCCGCAGCGCCCCGAGGCTGAGCTGCCCTCTGCCAAACACAGATGTTCACAATGACCAAAACCAGCAACTTTCTGTTTCCTTTCCCGCCCCGGCCGGGCCCCGGCAGCTGCCGGGGAGGATGTGGGGGGAGGTTGCGGAGCCCCAAAATCGCGGCGTCTTCTCCTTCCTCCCTCCCTCGCTCCCACCTGGGGCTTCACTTCTCCCTCAGCAGCCTCGGTATCTGGTGCTGCTCCTTGGGGCTGGGCTGGAATCCTCTCTGGGAGCTCCGGACACGGTGATGATGCTGGTGGTGGCACCAAAACCCCCATCCCTGGCTCCCCAAATGTCCCAAAATCCCCAAATCCTGCCCCAAATCACAACCCTTGACCCAATTCTTGACCTTCTCCCCCAGCGTCCACCATCTTTGCCCCAACTCTCGACTTTCCCGCAGTTTTGCCCATTTCACCCAAATCTACCCCAGTTCCCGTGCCCAGATTGGAGGAGGCCTGAACTGGGGGCAAGGGGTGAAGGTTTGGGGCCAATGGTTGAGTGTTGGGGCAGGAGCAGGGGAGGGTTGGGGTCAGTGCTGACCATTGGGGCAAATGGGGACAAAGGATCAAGGGCTGAGTCAATGGGTGAGGTTTGGGGGAAGGGTCTCGATTTGGGGACAGGGGGAGACACTGAGAGGGGGCTGGATCCACAACTGTCACCTTCACTATAAGCACCAGGACTGCAGCAACCATTATCAGCATGTTTGGCACAGAAATAGGATGCGGAATCCTCGTCCTTGAGGTTGTTCATGGTCAGCGTCACCGAGCTCTGCCCGTTATCCCTGGAGATCGTGACCCGGCCCTTGACCGATGGCGCGCAGCTGGTGTAGACACCATTGCTGGTGATCCATGCCACCCATTCCAGCCCATGCCCGGGTCTCTGGCGCATCCAGCACATGTTAAAACTGCCAAAATCGAACCCGGACCCTCGGCAGAGGAGGCGTAGGAACCCCTCAGGGGGCTGAGGTCCCCCCCACACTCCAGGAGGGTCACGGCCATTCCCACATGCCCAAACCTTCACCAGTTTTGCCCCAAAATCCCTTTGTCTGGCTTTAAATATCTAACAGAGGTTTCCTGTATGGAGAAGTGCCTTCAACACTGCAATTAGCCCCAATCCACCCATTAATTAATTGGGCAGTTCTGCCTGAGTTTTGCATCGCCTCATCCCCATTTCCCCTTTGTCCCACAGGGCTCTGGGCGGCCGTGACCCTGCTGGAGTGTGGGAGGGACCTCCAGCCCCCCGGGGGGTCCCTGACGTTGCTGTGCCGAGGGTCCGGGTTCGATTTTGGGAGTTTTGGAATGTTCTGGGTGCGCCAGAGACCCGGGCAGGCGCTGGAATTCGTTGCTGGGATCAATGCTGATGGTGTCAACACATTCAACGCGCCGTCGGTCAAGGGCCGGGTCACGATCTCCAGGGACAATGGGCACAGCTCGGTGACGCTGACCATGAACAACCTCAAGGACGACGATTCAGGATCCTATTTCTGTGCCAAGCGTATTTCTGCTGGCAATGCTGATATTGCCAGTGCTTTTGGCCCTGTCCACATATTTGTGTCCTCAGCTGTCCCCAGACCTCTCCCCTGTGGTCACACATGGCCAGCGTCACTGAGCTCAGCCCGCTGTCCCTGGCCGTGCTGACCCAGCCCTTCACCGATGGAACGTTCCAGGTGACTCCACCCTTGCACCCATCTGCTTCTCTCAGCATGGAGCCCTTGGCTCGTGATCAATTTAAACAGTTTCATCTCCCCTATGTTTCAGGTGTTTTTGGTTAAAAAAGGGTTTTTTCTCCAGAGCTCCCAGAGAGGATTCCAGCCCAGCCCCAGACACCGCGGCCGCTGAGGGAGAAGTGAAGCCCCAGGTGGGAGCGAGGGAGGGAGGGAGGGAGGGAGGGAGGAGAAGACGCCGCGATTTTGGGGCTCCGCAACCTCCCCCCACTTCCTCCCCGGCAGCTGCCGGGGCCCGGCGGGGAAGGAAAGGAAACACAAAGTTCCTGGTTTTGGTCATTGTGAACATCTGTGTTTGGGAGAGGACAGCTCAGCCTCGGGGCGCTGCGGCAGAGCGCCGGCTGCACAAAAAGCTTTGTGTGCAAAGGGCCCTGGAGCGATCCCCGTTCTGCACTGGGATGGAGGAGAAGGGCCAGACTGGGGAGAAATGGGGAAAGATGGGGGAAACCAAAAGCTGGGGCAGAAGGGCGGAGTTTCTGGGAAAAAGGTCAAGATTTGAGAAAGAGGGGTAGGGATTTTGGGGAAGGATCAGAGAATTCTGAGATAATTGGGAAGAGAGAGGAGAGGGCTCGGGACTACAACCACCATCAACACCATAAGCATAAGCGCCATTACCACAGCCACTGCTATAACATTTGGCACAGAAATAGGTGGCAGAATCCTCGTCCTTGAGGTCGTTCATGGTCAGCGTCACCGAGCTCTGCCCGTTGTCCCTGGAGATCGTGAACCGGCCCTGCACCAATGGCGTGTAGTAGGTGCTGGAACCAGTTTTGTAGATTCCAGCGAGCCATTCCAGCCACTGCCCGGGTCTCTGTCGAATCCAGAACATTCCAAAATTCCCAAAACTTAACCCGGGCCCTTGGCAGAGGAGGCGCAGGGACCCCCCTGGGGGCTGGAGGTCCCCCCCGCACTCCAGCAAGGTCACGGCTGCCTGGAGCCCTGCGGGACAAAGGGGAGATGGGGATGAGGCCAAAGTTCAACCCTTGACCCAAATCCTGACTCTGGGCCCCAAACTGGGACCCTTGGAGTTCATCATCCTCCACCCAGGTGGGTTCTGCCCCTTCTTCCAGCTGGCCACACCAGCTTTTAGGCCCTCGACCAATCAGGTTTCTCATCCCCATCTCCCCTTTTTCCCGCAGGGCTCCGGGCGGCCGTGACCCTGCTGGAGTGCGGGGGGGACGTCCAGCCCCCCGGGGGGTCCCTCCGCCTCCTCTGCCGAGGGTCCGCGTTCGATTTTGGCAGTTTTGGGATGGGCTGGCATCGACAGAGACCCGGGCAGGGGCTGGAAGCAGTCGCAATTATTAGCAGCAGTGGCAGCGCCTACTATGCGGATTCGGTCAAGGGCCGGTTCAGGATCTCCGGGGACAACGGGCAGAGCTCGGTGACGCTGACCATGAACAACCTCAAGGACGAGGATTCCGGATCCTATTTCTGTGCCAAATCTTTCAGCACTGGTACCGCTGCTGCTGCTACTTATACTGACTGTGCCGGTGGTGGCATCGCCATTTCTGAGCCCCTCCTCTTCCCAAATCTCTGACCCTTCCTCCAAATCTCAGTCCTCGACCCCATTCTTGACCCTTTGTCCCAGATCTCCACCATTTCCAACACCACCAACCACGGAGCTGAAACCCGCAAACTGGTTCTGCCCCAAATCCAACTATGTTTGCACCAAAAATCGCCTCATTCTGCCCCAACACCCCACTTAACGCTCCCAGCCACAGCTGCTGACACAAATCCTCAACCTTTGTCCCCAAATTTGGACCCTGGGCCTCAAACCCCGACCTTCAGAGCAAAGTTTTTGGGCACAAAGAGATTTGGGGTGAGGAGTTGTGGTTTGGGGTCAGTGGGTGAGAACTGGGGCCGAGGCAGAGCAAGGTTGGGATCAATGTTCAAGGGCTGGGTGTGGGCTGGGGGTTTGGGGGAAGGGTCTGGGGAACGGGGACAGGGGGGACACGGAGATGGGGACACAACCATCATCATGACCTCAATTACCAGAAGCACCACCATCACCAGTACCAACCGATTTTCGGCAAAAATAGACGGCGGAATCCTCGTCCTTGAGGTTGTTCATGGTCAGCGTCACTGAGCTCTGCCCGTTGTCCCTGGAGATCGTGACCCGACCCTTGAAGGATGGCGCGTACTAGGTGTAACCACCACTGCTGATCCCCGCGAGCCATTCCAGCCCCTGCCCGGGTCTCTGGCGAAGCCAACTGAATCAAAAACTCCCGAAAATGAACCCGGACCCTCGGCAGAGGAGGCGCAGGGACCCCCCAGGGTGCTGGAGGTCCCCCCCGCACTCCAGCAGGGTCACGGCTGTCCGGAGCCCCGCGGGATAAATGGGAGATGGGGATGGACAAAGCTCAACCACGGACCCCAAAATCCTGATTCTTTGACCCATAATTTGACCCTTGGGACTCTCCATCTGCTTTCTCCCGCTGCTCCTGCTTGGACTCCCAGGTGGATCCCACCCCTTTTTCCAGCCAACCACCCCCCGTTTGGGGCTTTGGACCAATCAGGTTTCTCATCCCCATCTCCCCTTTGTCCCGCAGGGCTCCGGGCGGCCGTGACCCTGCTGGAGTGGGGGGGGTATCTCCAGCCCCCCGGGGGTTCCCTGCGCCTCCTCTGCCAAGGGGCCAGGTTCGATTTTGGCAGTTTTGCCATGAACTGGGTGCGCCAGAGTCCTGGGCATGGGCTGGCGTGGCTCGCGAGCATCTATAGCAATGGTGGCAGCACCTTCTACGCGCCGTCAGTCAAGGGCTGGTTCAGGATATCCAGTCAGAACGGACAGAGCTCGGTGATGCTGACCATGAACAACCTCAAGGACGAGGATTCCGGATCCTATTTCTGTGCCAAATCTGGTTATGCTTGTGATTGGGATGCTGTTCCTTGTGCTGAAGACCCCAATGGTGGATCCACGCCCCCATCTCAGCGTTTTCTCCTGTCCCCAAACCCCCAACATTTCCCCCAATCCTCAGCCCTTGGCCCATCCCCGCCCGGGGGTCTCTGTCCCAATCCCGACTGGGACGGGGCTGTAGGGACCCCTCTGGAGCCGTTCGGTTTCCCACCATCGCTCCCCTCACCGGGCTGTGGCCATGGGGAGGTGCCGGCGGCTCACGGCCCTGGCAGCACACACAGAACTCAATGGAACAGCTCAGCGCGAGAGGTTTGTGGCCAATCACACAAAGCAAAGGCAGATTGACACGGTGGGGCCGGATCTGGGACATCCTCGTCAGTTTTGGGGAATAGTTTGGGACGTGGAGTCCAGAGCTGAGGTTTGGGGCCAGGAAATGAGATTGGGGCAGAACCAGTTCAGAGCTGGGACACGGGGAGAGGAATGGGGTCAGGGGCTGGGGACTGGGGGATGGGTCTGGGGAACGGGGACAGGGCGGGACACAGCCATGGGGATTGGGTAAACATTAAAGGCATTATTCCCCGAATAATTATCAGCAGATTTGGCGCAGAAATAGGATCCGGAATCCTCGTCCTTGAGGTTGTTCATGGTCAGCGTCACTGAGCTCTGCCCGTTGTCCCTGGAGATCCTCATGCGCTCCTTGAATGACGCCCCGTAGTGGGCGATGGAACCGTCCCTGCGGATCCCCGCGAGCCACTCCAGACCCTGCCCAGGTCTCTGGCGCACCCAGAACATTCCATTGCTCCCGAAATCAAATCCGGTCCTCGGCAGAGGACACGCATGGACGCCCCGGGGGGCTGGAGGCCTCCCCCGAACTCCAGAAGGATCACGGCCGCCTGGAGCCCTGCGGGACAAAGGGGAGATGGGGATGGGGCCAAAACTCAACCCTTGACCCAAATCCTTACTCTGGGCCAAAATTGGGACCCTTGGAGTTCATCATCCTCCTCCCAGGTGGGTCATGCCCCCTTTTTCAAGCTGACACTACCACCCATTCATGCCCTCAGCCAAGCAGGTTTCCCATCCCCTTCTCCCCTTTTTCCTGAAGGGCTCCGGGCGGCCGTGACCCTGCTGGAGTGGGGGGCGGACCTCCAGCCCCCCGGGGCTTCCCTGCGCCTCCTCTGCCGAGGGTCCGGGTTCAATTTTGGACAATTTGGGATAGGCTGGTGTCGGCAGAGACCCGGGCACGCACTGGAATACATCATGAGTGTGAACAACAATGGTGGTTACCTGGACTACGCGTCGTCGGTGCAGGGCCGGTTCAGGATCTCCAGGGACAACGGGCAGAGCTCGGTGACGCTGACCATGAACAACCTCAGGGACGAGGATTCCGGATCCTATTTCTGTGGGAAATCTGTCAATACTGGTAACCCTGTTGCTGCCTATATTGACCATTCCGGTGGTTGCACCACCCCATCAGATCCCCTCATGTCCCCAAACCCAGACTCTTCCTCCCCAAACCTCAGCCCTTGACCCTTTGTCCCAAATCTCCCCCATTTGCCCCAATGGTCAGCACTGACCCCAAACCCTCCCCTGCTCCTGCCCAAAAACTCAACCATTGGCCCCAAACCTTCACCCCTGGCCACCAGTTCAGGCCTCCTACAATCAGGGCCTGGGACTCGGTAGAGATTATGTAGAAATGGGCAAAACTGGAGGAACGTACAGAGTTGGGGCAACAACGCTAGAGTTTGGGGGAAAACGGTCGAGGTTTTAGAAGGGCTGAAACTTGGGGGAAGCATCGCTGGGATTGGAGAAATTTCACGACCCTCATGGTCACTAGCAGAAGTGAAGGCAAAAACAGCAGCAGCATTACCACCAGCATAACCATTGTCACGTTTGGCACAGAAATAGGATCTGGAATCCTCGTCCTTGAGGGTGTTCATGGTCAGTGTCACCAAGCTCTGCCCGTTGTCCCTGGAGATCCTGAACCGGCCCTTGACCGATAGCACATAGTTGGTGGTGCCACCATTGTCACTGATCCCTGCGAGCAACTCCAAGCCCTGCCCGGGTCTCTGGCGGATCCACTGCATGCCGAAACTGCCGAAACTGAACCCGGACCCTCGGCAGAGGAGGCGCAGGGACCCACTGGGGTGCTGGAGGCCCCCCCCCCCCGACTCCAGCAGGGTCACGGCTGCCCGGAGCCCTGCGGGGGACAAAGGGGAGATGGGGATGAGAAACCTCATTGGTCCAGAGCTTCCTAGTGGGCAAGGCCAGCTGTAAAAAGGGGCGGGACCCACCTGGGAGGAGGAGGATGAACTCCAAGGGTCCCAGTTTGGGGCCAATAGTCAGGACTTGGGTCAAGGGTTGAGCTTTGGCCTCATCCCCATCTCCCCTTTGTCCCGCAGGGCTCCGGGCAGCCGTGACCCTGCTGGAGTGCGGGGGGGAACTCCAGCCCTCCGGGGGATCCCTGCGCCTCCTCTTCCGAGGGTCCGGGTTCAGTTTTGGCAGTTTTGGGTTGGGCTGGCATCGCCAGAGACCCGGGCTGGCGCTGGAGTGGCTCACAGGGATCAGCAGTGATGGTGCCAACACCTTCTACGCGCCATCGTTCAAGGGCCGGTTCAGGATCTCCAGGGACAACGGGCAGAGCTCGGTGACGCTGACCATGAACAACCTCAAGGACGAGGATTCCGGATCCTATTTCTGTGCCAAATGTTACCGCAGTGGCTGTGGTAATGGCGCTTATGCTTATGGTGTTGATTGTGGTTGTGGTCCCAAGCCCTTTTTTCTGCGTTCCCAAGTATCACAAAATTATCTGATCCTTTTGTTGCCTTCTGGAGCAAGGCAGGCGACCTGGTTCAGAAGAATAGCACGGCGGCCCACTCACCAGGGCCACTCGGGCCAATGACACACGCAGACATCAATGTGATGGACGGTCAAAAGGCGTTTCTTATCTCATCTCTTGGGTTTTTATAGTCTAAGGGGTCTCTACGTCAAAGTGGGTCTGTCTTTACCATCTATGGTTAGTAAGAGGTGGACTGTTACTGGGTAGGGGATGGAAAGTTACTGGAATTTGGTTAAGGGGGGCTACCTTCCTATGTTAGTTTCTTATCTACGGGAAGCAGATGGTCTTATCTAAGGGGATCAAAGGGTCCAGGCTTTCCGTGACATCGCGAGATCTTCCGCAGTGCCTTTCCCTGTCTACCACATCTCCCCCCCCTTTTTCACAAATGAATGAGGTAGTCATGCACATAGGTACTTAAATGAGGTATAATGTTGTAACTTGACAACGGAAAAGGGTCTTGGGAGTCCTGAGTAAGCTTTTGCCAGACAAGTTCGGAGAATCTTGTGACTGACAGTGTTCCCTGGTTGAATTCTCTGGTTGAATTCTCCGGTTGAATTCACAGCAATTGTCGTCGGCCTAAGAACAGGATGTTGGTCCGTTCCAGGCGGGTATGAACGAACGAGACTAGCTTGTTCAGCAGGCATGGTCCGAAGGTGACTGTTAGAAACAGCATCGCCAATGGACCTATCAGGACAGAAATCAGAGTGGTTAGCCAAGGTGATTGATTGAACCAGGACCCCTACCAGCCCTGTTGGGACTCCCTGTCTTTCTGTCTCTGAGCCAGTCGGTTCCGGAGTTCTGCCATGGAGTCTCTCACGACTCCCGTGTGGTCTGCGTAGAAACAGCACTCCTCCTTCAAGGCGGCACACAGACCCCCTTGTTGCATGAACAGGAGGTCCAGGCCTCGCCTGTTCTGCAAGACCACTTCTGAGAGTGAGGAGACTGACTTCTCTAGAAAAGAGATGGATTTCTCGATCCTTTGCAGGTCCTCGTCAATCATTGCTTGCAGCTGGGACAGTCCTTGGTGCTGGGTCGCTAGGGCTGAGACTCCTGTGGCCGTTCCGGCTGCTCCCAGGCCGAGCAGCATTGCGATAGTTATACCTGTCAATATTTCTCTTTTGTGGAGCCGGCTGTGTCCCTCAAGAAGATGGCACATTTCTTCGTCTGAGTGGTACAGGACCCTAGGAACAATCAGAACTTTGACACAAAAGTCGTTAGAGTCATTGAATTTGGGAAGGAACACACAAGGACTCACTCCGGATCGCTGGCAAACCCACATCCCCGACACGGATGGGACTGCCCACTTATTGTTTTTCCTGTTAGGCTCGACGATTTTAGTGCAGACGTTGCCCCTCCGCCTAGCTAGGGTTGCATTGCCAAAGCATCTGCCTCGGCCTGTGACTTAGGGTGATTCCCTTGCGAGGGGTGTCCCATCTGCACTGGTGAGGGGCGTCGGCTGAGGAATACCTGAAGGGAGTGTTTAAGGCGACTCCTTCGAAAAAGGGGGGTTTGACATCGTGACAAAGCCAGCAGGATTCGGTTAGGTTAGGGTTGGATTCGTTCAGGGATACAAAGGTAGCTTCTAACATGCGAAGGATTGGGTCTGAGTCTGACTCGGTTAAGCGGCTCATCTGAAAGGTTTCCGCTTGACCGGTCGGGACTCTGCTGACCCCTGTGGGTAAGGTTTTGGGGTGGGTTATGTTTCTCCCTTTTGGCACGCTTTTAATCGCTTTGTTGGGTCCGACTGCTCGGGGTGCTGACGGTTGGAGCCTGATAATTTGCACGTTCGCCCTCTCTTTTGATCCTTGAAGGACCACTGTCCACGTTCTGCCTGTGGCCCAGCTAGGGTGATCTGGCTGCAAGACCGTCATGTTGTACTCAGTGCATGCCCGAAATCTAGGGACTTTATGTTGGTTTCAATGGAAGTTCCCGTGAAAGAAGAGGGGTATTTTGCAACCGATGGGTGCCCAGGTGAACTGTAAGAATTTGTCTGGCTCTTGTGGATCCCACCCAGGCCCCGATGGCCTGGCATCTGTGACTATGGTTTCGCAGCCCCAGTGCCCACAGTATCCCCACCCTGGGTGATTGCAGTAGCTTTTCCCAGGGTTTGAAGCTGGGCACCAGTAAGATAGGTACGAGTGTGTGACGTGTGGGGAATAGGGGTGTACCTTTGGCTGTCCTGGAAACAGGTCGGTGATGCGGAGCACGAAGGATGGGGTGTTCGGTGTGGTGATTTGTCTGAGCGCTTTGCCACTACTAAGGTGTCGCATGACCCACCTGAAGGGCTGATGGGGGTAGTGGTCTGGGCTGGCTTGCCCCCTGGAAACAAGCCCCCCGGCTTGCCCCCTGGCAACAAGCCCCAACAGCAAAATCACACAGAAACGCCCTTGGTGCTTGGGTCTCACCCGTGCGGGTCTCTCGGGTGCAGCTTGGCGGCTTGGTGGTCTGTCGCTTTCGTCCGGAACCGGGAAGTACGCGTCACGAGGGCGTCCCACGAGCAGGTCCTGTAAACAAATACTCGCAATTCTCGTCAGTCTCATTCTGCTCGCTATGAAGGTCCGGTTTAATCGACTTAAGTGGACACCACCTGATTTTGCTGTCCTTTTTGACTGCTGCGTACCCTCGCCCCGTGAGCATCAGCCTCCAACCCCGTTCCCACTCGCCTAGCTCATTTCTGATTTCCACCTGCGGGCCCTCTTCTAACGTTCGAGTGGCCCAGTGTTTTTGAACGGGACTGTTTGTTTCATCTCCCCTAGGGAATTGATTCAGTGCCAGCAAGGCGGTTGCCAGCATGCGTGCCTGATCTCCTGGGGGAATGGCATTGGCAAAGCCCTCTGCTTTTGCCAACACTTCTATCTTGGTTTTCAGGGTCTGGTTTGCTCTCTCTACTATGGCCTGTTCGGTACTGTTATGTGGGATGCCATGCACTAGCGTGATACCCCATTTCGAGGCGAATTCCTGTACTTGTTTGGATTTGACTTTGGAGCCGTTGTCCATTTTGATCTGCTTGGGGATACCTAGCTGTTATGGTTTAGGCCTGGCAAAGCCAGGGCCCCCATAAATATACCTTTTACCTGATATCTGCTGTGAGATGTGGCCAGGAAATAAGCAAAGCAGGCTCCAACTTAAACATAAAGAGAAGTTTATTAACTAAACTACACACACAATTACTAAACTGCACACACAATTACTAACCTACACACGCACAGGGGAAAAAAAAACAAGGAGAATGAGAACTACACAGAAACACTTCCTTATCCTCCTCCCACCAAATTCTCAAACACATTTACATTTCCCAAAAATTATCTACACTCGGTCTGGCACCACCCTTTGGAAAAAAATCAAATCTTCAGCTCATAAGGGATAGACGGAGTCCTTCCTTGTGCCACGGACTTCTTGTCACAATCAGCAATCCGCCCGGTATCTTGCTATCTCGTGACATCTCCTTTCCATGCCGAGGTGCTCTCACCACCTGGCATGGGATGGGGCAGGGGCCTGCCTTCAGGGCCTTTTAAGAATGCCTCGTCTCGTTCCAAGCAGAGTACAGTCACAATCCTGGGACCTCTGTCCCCACCATGTCTTCTATACCCCCTGGGGCCGAGGGGTCTCAAAACCAAACTCTCTTGACGCCGAGCCTCCGCTTCCCCCTGCAATACAGCCTCTGCATCACCAGGAAACAGTCCATGGAAATACAACAAAAAAGAGTCCAGCAAAAACTGCCACTCCATCTTCCTCCATTCCTTCAACATCTCTCTTCTCCCTTTGCCAGACCCTCCTTACTGGCCTGATTTTCTTCCTTCATCTTCCACTCCTGTCCCTTTCCCAGGAAAGGCAATGTTCTGCGAAGCCTTCATTCCCCAAAGGGTTAAAAGTTCTCCCAGGCGGCCGGACTGCCCGCTGCCCCCCCCCCGCTTTCTCCTCCCAGCCGTGCTGCCTGCCGGCACATGATATCAAGTTTCAAGATATACAGTTCGAGCACGGGCTGCATTCTCTGGGGGGGGAATAAACAGGTCGCTCAAGGGTTTGCCACCCTTCCTCCGAACCCGGGCCTACCGTAGATGGGCCACGTGGCTTTCCCCTCCCCCAGCCCAGCCAGCAACTGGGCCAGGGGAGAGACTTCTTCACGCCGGAAATCCCAAGAGAGCTCCGAAGGCCAAGAGCCCTGCTTTTAACCCCTTGGGTTCGTAGTCTCAAGAGGCGGATCCAAATGTCCCACTGGTCAAACTAGGTGCCCATCTTAAATTCCAA